TATTGAAGCACATCATAATTATGAGCACTTGCAAAACTAGAGATTGCATGACCTCTTATGAAGGCTGAGCTGTTTTTGGTGCAGGGCTTTACTAGCCAGGAGGGCAATCAAGCACCTCATTTTCATCAAGACAGGGAAACACTTGACCAGAAGAGGTGATAGAAATTCTCACTTTCTTTATAAGGAGGGTCTTCCCCCATTTTTATAACCTACCTGGTTATAAAGCTTCCCAATGGACAAAGCTATGCAGACATTTACACTGGAAACGGGCAATTTCAGTTCTGACTTGGGTCCACCAGAGTGCAGCTTTCTCACCCCTCCCTTCTTGCTGCAGCCCAACATGCCCCAAAATACTGCTCTTCCCCAGGAACAGCAGTTTGGGATGCAGCAGGAGGGGGAGATGAGAAAGTTGCACTTTGTGGGTGTTTACAGAAAGACTACAGTGGATCCAAGGCTTTATAATCCAAAAGTGCCTCAAACTGCCCCCCCACACACAAACCATCACAGAAGGGCTACATTTGAATGTCAGGAATGAAATCCAGTTTGTAACAAGAAATGAGTCTAGTTCATCTCCAATTCACATACTCCCTCCCCTGTTCCACTAATGAAGACATCTTGGTTTAAGAAATCTTCACTCTGACTGCAATTGTGACATCCAGACTTGGACACTTCACCAAACTAAGGTTTATTTCTTGCCTACAAACTGGGTCAAAGCTGGGTAGAGCATCAGTTTGTAGGCAAGAACACACATTAGTTAAGTGTCCCGTTTGTACAACTGCAGTTAGACAGAAGGCTTCCTAAACCAAAAGTCTTCAAACTCCATCCACAAGCATCAGTGAATGAGAGGGAGAACAGATACCTTCACTTTTGTCAAGAAGAAGAGTCTGTTATGCTGAAGGACATACATGGCAAAGAAAGAACAATTAATTCACAGGTTTAAAATGGAGAAAGCACGCACAGATTATGTAGATGCAGAACTCTTGCACTACACTGTGTTCCCAACGTTTTAGTCCATCTATGAGACCAGAGAGGATACTTTGACTTGAAAGCTCACTACACACAAAACAGCAAATTCAGGAAGGTAAATAGAAAAAGAAAGACAATAAAATACCGAGCAACATGGAGATTTTTAGGTTTTTTTAAAGAAAGAATTTGCAGTCTGTGGCACTGTTTATTGTATGCCTTTCTTGTTTTTACTTATTGTTTTCTAGTTTCTGTGATCCAATTCTTATTTTTATGTCATATCTCATAATGTTTCTATTGCATTGTTTTCTGACTTTGTAATCCAATCTTATTAAAATGTTTATTATGTTTTACACTGTTCTTATAATACTAAATTTTGTAATCTGTGAGGCAGATTTTAAATATATGACATTCCAAAATCATACTGAATTATTTATTACAGTCAAATACCAGTTCTAAAGCACATACAATAAAATACATGCAATAACACCATAAATATTGGGTTAGGTCTTTTTTTTTCATGTTTTCCTAAATTAATTTTTAATTCTTAATGTTTTATCTATTGTATTTTATTGTTTTTACATTAGTTGTAAACTGCCAGAGAGCTTCGGCTACGGGTGGTATAAAAATGAAATGATGAGGATGTTACATACATTCAGGGGGCGTTTTGTAGAAAAAGAGCTACGGGAACTCATTAGCATATGCCACACCCCCTGACATCACCGGACGTGTGTCATAAGGCCACACACCCCGCCCCCAACGGTCCCGGCCGCCGTCGCCG